TGGATAAGGATAAGGATAATGATAAGGCTCTCGAGAAATTTATCCCTATCTAGCTAAGAGTTAGAGATAAGTATTGTGTTTGAGTCCTATGAAGTGAGATTTCTAGTGGACTAAAGCACTGCTGGCTATAAAAGTGAGGCACCCATGTTGGTCTAGGGTATGCTTTTACTTGTGCATTGAGTACTTGTTTGATATCTTTGAGAGATAAGATTAACTGACTTAATCGTCAGAGTGTTCCCGGGTAGACGAGCCACCATGGTATTCTTGTCTTCTTATTGGCAGGGGCTTGGTTTAATCTATTCTACTGCGTGCTTTTCAGCTAAGTTTTCTGTTTGGTTGTGAGGTCGAAAATCAACACCCACAATTTGGCGCAATCTGTGAGAACTTAGTAAGAATAGATGGTCAATGCCAGACAAGAGGTGAGAGTCGGGAATGACATGCACAGTGGGGAAGAGGAGTACGTAGATCCCAATGTTGGAGGGGGAAACAATGACAAAGAAGTGCAGTAAGTAAATCCTGATGCCAATAATGGCCTGAAAAGAGGCAACTGGGAAGAATACTACAACAAAAGCGACTGCCAGGTATGAAAAGAAAGATGCCTGAGGAGAGATGATGAACTAAAGGACTTGGCAAACAAGTTGACAGACCTGCAGACCGTGGTGAACTTTATGCTGCAGAGCAAGGTGATGTAGGTGACTTTGCCTTTACTGGAAACGTTGACTCCAGCAAGAAACACCAACGCCCAGAAGGAGGGATTGGCTACAGTGCCAATAGTTCCCCAACATGAAAAGAGACTTGGGGATAGAATCGCGGCAGGAGAAGTCCCAAAGAACCGCGACGACTAACGAAATCCAGATCAGATCTCAGCAGGTCAATGGGCAGGGCCTCTGTTTTGACAACGTGGCAGATGTAGAGTGTGACACCCCAAAATTTAAGGACATTATAATAAGGTTTAGAATTTAAAACCAATTTTCTTAATTAAGAACTCCTTATCAATGTTGCCACTAAGTTTACCATCATCCATTAATTAACAATACAGAAATTAAAAGTTCTTAACTTACAACTTCAATAAAACTTAAGACTTGGTTTGGCATATCTTAAAAAAGTCAAAAAGTCAAAAAATTACTAAAAAAGTTAAAAAGTTATTACTATTCACTAAAAAAAATATTAAAAAAATTAATTTTATAAAAAAAAAGTACAACTCATATGTCACGTGAGTTGTACTTTTGTTGCCCACCGTTTGTACAAAGGGAACATGCGGAGAAGCAAACAAGATGGTGCTGTTCGGCCCGTGGAGACCCATCTAGGGTCCCGTTTTGATAATCTGAATCGTCAATGTGTAGAACTCGTCAAGTAATATATGCTTATAAAAAATCACGTTGATTGGATATCGCTAACTATATGATCAAATCAGTTTTGTATACAAAATAGATAATGTTATAGTTAACGGTTGATAAAAAAACTAATCCGATCAGATAGCTATCAATATCCGATTAATGTGATTTTTTACAAGCATATAGTACTCAACGAGTTCTACACATTGAACTATTCCGATTAGCAAAACGGGACCCGTGGTGCGCCCCCACGAGCCGAACAACACTGTCTAATTCAATACTTGAAAAGGGGCAAGCTTCTCTTATACACTACTCTGCCCACTGTACTGCCTACTCTGCCCAAGCTTTTCCTATACACTAATTTATACAATTTTTTAATACACA